TCTGTCTATCTTGCATAGGCAGATCGTACTTGCGATGATCGCAAGCCACGATGATCACGATGCGATGATCGCAAGCAAGCCCGCCTGGCTTCCGATGACCGAAATGCCGAACGGGCAGTGTGCGCTTGCGCACACCGGCCCGTCCGGCTTTTATCTTGCGAACATGCTACACACCCGCCGAACATCGTACGATGCTCGGCGGGTTTTGCAACATGTTCGTAAGTTTAAAGTCGTGCGACCTTACAGTAGTAGAGGTCGCACGGCTTCCACACACCTTACAATAATCGTACGATCGCCGGATTTCCAGCGATTATCGTACGATTATCGTAAGGTTGTGGGGACCTTAATGCCGAGGTGTACTCAAAAAATGTTTTGCCTCGACTTTCCCTTAGGGTCTGATCGCTTGGGGGATGATTAGTGCAGATTTCTGACTCTGCACAGGACATCAGAGCAGTGAGTATATTTATGTTTACTGTTTTGCAACATTGTTTTTATCTGCCAAAGGCAATCATCAGCACTAGTTTGTAGGATTATTATTGACAGCACCATTGTGTAAATGTATCTACAGGCAACATAGTTATAACGGTATTAGTATTAACAGGACTATTTAAAATTATACTAGTGCTTGTTTCAGCTGCAAGTGAGAGCAAGCACCAGCTGCTCTGTTTTTTTAAGAGCATTCGGGCAGAAGAGAAAATACCCCGAGAACCAGGGGTATCCCTTGCGTATCTGCTAGCCGGGTTGGGGGGGGGGCACTAAAGTCCTGTTAACAGGACTATTTAAAATTATACTAGTGCTTGTTTCAGCTGCAAGTGAGAGCAAGCACCAGCTGCTCTGTTTTTTTAAGAGCATTCGGGCAGAAGAGAAAATACCCCGAGAACCAGGGGTATCCCTTGCGTATCTGCTAGCCGGGTTGGGGGGGGGGGCACTAAAGTCCTGCCCAGCTCACTGACGTCACTGGTTGCCAGGAGCTGGGTTTGATGCTGGTAGAGAATTCGGCTCAGTTTCTGGCAACCAGTGATATCACTGGTTGCCAAGAGCTGGGTGGGACGCCGGCCAGACCATCGCACTCAGCTCCTGGCAACCAGTGAGCTGAGCTGGAAATGTGTATGGCCCTTTAGGTCCCCACACACCTTACGATAATCGTACGATAATCGCGGGAAATCCCGCAATCGTACGATTATCGTAAGGTGTGTGGAAGCCGTGCAACCTCTTCTACTGTAAGGTCGCACAACTTTAAACTTACGAACATGTTTGACAACCCGCCGAGCATCGTCCGATGTTCGGCGGATGTGTAGCATGTTCGTAAGATAAAAGCCGGACGGGCCGATGTGCGCAAGCGCACACTGCCCGTTCGGCATTGCGGTTATCGGAAGCCCGCCCCTCAGGGGGCGTGGCTTGCGATCGCAAGTACGATCTGCCTATGCAAGAAAAGCAGATCGTACGTTTTTTTAAGTACCTTACAACCATCGCAAGACTAAAAACTTGCGATGGTTGTAAGGTGTGTGCCCAGCCTTACACATCTCTCCACCCGGCTATTAGCAACCTGGGACTCTCTGTAGAAATCAGGTATCCATGTTCCATTTTATTGCATCATAATTACAAATTTGGACCTTTATTCTGTACACATGCAAGACCTTGCATAATGCAAGTTTATGTGGATGTTCATTGAGATCTTACTGTCCAGTCAAGATGTTGGCTTGCATTTATCATCTACTACTTATGTTGATATACAATAATTCAATGACAATCAAACCTTTACTTGTCCCTGGACAGCGACTCAGAAAATATTGAATGCAGAGAGTAAGCATAAAAGCCAAGCTGGCTACTAGCATTTGCAGAGGGAGGTCATTAATGATAGAGCCACATTTTACTTAGGAAAATGTTACTTTAAAGCACTTTGTACCACTAGCAGAGCATCTATTATTAAAAGCCACAGTCACTTTGGAAGAGGGTGGTGTTCTTGCCCCACTTCCTCAAGTGGGCATAATAGAATATAGACGCTCCTAGCTAAGAAGCCTGCTTGCTCTGACCTGAAAATATGGAAGTCAAGAATGTGTACATGGTAGTATTACAGCTTTATTTAGTGCTTCTACCTCCAGCATCCAGTCTGATGTTATCAACTAAGATGGCAGCCACCAAGCATAAACCTTGCAGAGGAGAACCGATGCATAACATGGCACAGGTTTATTTACTATTTTGAGGTTTTATGCGCATCTGGTATGATGAAATCGGAATTATTAGAATGGTATAGATGCGCTATGACAACTGGAATATATATTCAGAAACAAGCTTCTATCAAAGAAAAAAAACTGTTATTCATGTGATCCTTTTTCATCTCTGAGCACACGTTATAGAGTTAAAACATTAGGTAATGAGTATGCCCACTCCTTCCCCATATATCACAGCTGAGTATATCTGAACCAAGAAGAAAACAAGCTCTCAAGACTCAATAAGGGGCTATTCACACTTGTCCATTAACATGCAGTGCAATGGATTAAAACAGTGCATGGAAATGTACTCATTTGTCCCTGTGTGGCCAGTTCACTTCGGAGTTGACATTTTATGCATTGCAGTTTGATAGGTTTTTAAAAATAAACTATATGAGCCTATTCACACCTCTGTGTGTGCATTAGTACAAAGACAGCAACACAGAAGCAAATGTCATAATGGACCCTAAAGAGCATTTCCTCTTCTGCTGTATATCAGCATGATGTAATGACATATTTATCAGGGTATCGGTCAGGCCTGGACCTTCATATTAGCAGATCTTCCACTGCATGTAAAGGAGGTAAAAGCAATAGCTGGCCCTAGTTTTAAACCAATATTCCCCTTCTCCATTGGACCAGTTACCGAAAGGCAGTAGTGATGCTCCTGTGGCACAGAGTCTAATACTGGCAGAGATCATTTTTAATGTTTTTATAAAAGGCCAAGATACAAAGGATAGATATAACATATTGTTATACTCTAATGTTAAACCAGCTTCATTAAACACCTCCATAGGAGCTTCTCTAAACGTAAGACGATAGATACAAAGAACCATACATTCCCATACTGCCTGTGTATTCATAAATGCTACAATTTGATTTGGATTAATTAACTGACCTAAACCACAAACTTCTTTCCTATATACAATCCAAAGCAGCAGGCACTGATACACATAACAGCATGAAACAAAACACAAGGTCATTAGTGATATCAGACTTGTGTTTTTCTTCTTTTGTCCATTGTCATCAGTCACAATGATTCGTTCGCTCTATCAATGGTAGTATGGCTGTATTGTGTGTTTAGCCCTGGTAGGATTGCTGGGTGCTTCTATTTATAGACCGTACTTGGAGCATTTACATATGTATACAGTGTAAATGAGTGCCAAGCAATTCCCCACATGAGGTATCCTCGATATCCACTGGATTTAGTTTTTTTGCTTTTTTAATAGACACTATAAAGAGAAAAGGAAGTTCATACATACAATAGCTGTTAGATACAAATTGAATACTTGACAATACCAACCAACCCAAAAAAATTTGTGAGAAAATGTATAGCTGGAATGTGATTGGTTGTTATGGGCAGCAATTTTTCTCCAGACACGACAGCTGAAAACTCATTGGTTGCCACAGGTAATGACTCTGATTTTCATATTGTACAGACAGACATATAGATAGACACAAAGGGTGTGAAACCTATACCAAGTTTAGATTGGTAACTAGATTTCTATGCTCCACTTTCTGAGCTTTCCGAGAATTTTCCAACCTGCTCCTTTGATCAGTTGATCGAGGGATGCTGGTCGGAAGGGTGCCGACAGCAGCACCCACTGTGCAAATTGTGGCCGCTTCATCAGGAAGCAGCGCTCCATTTGTACCGTGTATACCAGACTCGAGGCTCCAGTTTTAGTAATCAGCCCCCCAGACAGATAAAAGGAACTGAACATAGTTTTCTCCTATTGCAATGGATACCATTGAAGTCTCGTTATTTATTTCCTAACAGATGACATGACTAAACCCGGTTACAACTCATGGTTATCCATCAGATGTGATTAACCACAGCTACAATCCTAGTCATTTAGCAAGCAGCTAGACATAGCTTAGATTCTGCAATCGAACGATGAAGTGAGCTGTGTTGGACTCTGTTATCAGAAGTCCACTGGAGCCGATAACTGTGCCAGTTCTGGGCCTGCGTCCTGGCATGTACACTAATTCTGCACATACACTAATCTCCAGCGAAGCATGTGATCGTTCTGCTTCACTCTGGAGATTTCACACAATGCCAACAGTTTCTCCGCGCTGCAGTGATGTCATTATTTTTCTCCAGGTTACTAGCATCTACAGCACAAACAACAAGTCCAGGTCCCGCCGGGCAAACACAGTGTACCTTTGCATCATCTCACCTATCCGCGTTGTGTCACCTATGCCACCTCGCACTGTCACCAAAAGCTAGCACCAATCTTAATTAGGATAATAAAGACAAAGAAAGCAGCAGTTTTCCCTGCTGCAAATAACATTTCATGTCTGTGCTGGGCAAATACAGGCAGTGCAAAGCGATGTGAACAAAGAGCCTTTGTTTATGTTAGGAGATGCTCCAGGAATCCCCGGGGACCTACAGTGGGAACGCTGAACACGACTGCTTTCAATTAATATACACTTCAGTATAAATAATGTGCAGGTCTACTGTGCACATTGTTAAAACAATACATACCTGTATTATCTGGGAGTCATGTGACCAATGTATCCATCGACACAACTTTAAAATGCAAGTACAATTGGTCTATATGTACTACTACAACATAATCAAAACAAACATATTACATCTAACGATAAAATAGCAAGCACCATTGCAGAACTCATCAGTCCTTTTTGCAGATAAACAACATTCAACGTTCTAGTAATAACAGGCCAATCATTACAGTAAGTAGCAGCATTAGAGTGTTATCCTCCTTGTATACAACTGACAGCGGTTAAATAATAAATCAGAGAGATTTCTCTGCTGACAAAGCATTCCCCTACCTGAAGCTTCATTTTCCAGCATGAATGCATCAGTGTATCCTTATTAGAGCTTCCTCCTCTTGCATGACTCCAGTAATCCAGACTAAAAGGATGAGGACTGAGCACATCTGCTGTCTGCCCTACATTTTCCTGTACAGGGAGAAGGGGGGG